TTTTATTATTTCAAATATTCTCTCTATTATCTCAGGGGTCGTACTTGTGATGTAGACATAGATGAGTGTACTGGAGTCAGCTGTGGACAGGGGGGCACTTGTATTGATAAACTGAATGATTTCACCTGTATCTGTTTTATTATTTCAAATATTCTCTCTATTATCTCAGGGGTCGTACTTGTGATGTAGACATAGATGAGTGTACTGGTGTCAGCTGTGGACAGGGGGGCACTTGTATTGATAAACTGAATGATTTCACCTGTATCTGTGCACCTGGCTATACTGGACAACTTTGTACACAGAGTAATTTATTATTATTATTATTATTATTATTATTATTATTATTATTGATATATGCTATATTTTGAATTAATATAGTTGCCATTAGCAATGTTGATTCTATTTTGAGAGAAAGCAGAAAATTGTGGCTAATTTATCATTATTGCAAAGTGCATGGTTGTAAATGTGGTACTTATATTTGTATATATAAGTATTTGTATATTTTTGTATTTGTATATCTTTTATTTGAAATTCATCATTTTTCATTTAAATTCCAGAACTGTCCTCCAAATTTGACCTGCGCTTCCTGCAGGGAGAGCCAGACACCATCAGTTATGCCGTGGTCAGGGATATCGCTGACCATAGACTCACCCCACTGACCCAGTTGACACTTCAAGCTTGGATACGAAGTAACAAACCCCAGGGGATGATAGCCGTGTATAAGGCAGCTGATGGGACTGGGTTTGGGGTGAAAAATCCTGGTGATATTGAGATACAGATAAATAGGTACATGGAATTCTTAACGCACAAAATTTGCATTTGTATTTAATCTTAAATTTCTCTGGAATGTTTGGCGTATTGCAATTTTGTGAGAAATTACCATTAATATATGATAGATATTGGTACAGGTATTTCAAGCTTGTGACCTAACTGTGATGTGAATGTTGAGTTAGTCCATGTTTTAAAATAACATTCATATTGATAGGCACTTGGTTAGTTTTATTTTTGAACATTTGAAAATCACTTCATTATTTTTAATTTTCAATATTTCCCCAAAACAAATATTTTATTTACTGTCAGTAAAATTTATTTCTTTTCAGTCACACTGTCCAGACAGGACTGGACATCAGTGATGGTCAGTGGCATCAGGTCACTGCAACCTGGACCAGCCAAACCCAGGGAGTGACCCTCTACAGAGACGGCCAGCTGGTGGCCACTTACTCCAATGTCCCTGGCTCTAGTATTACCACAGGGGGGAACATGGTCATTGGACAGAGACATGAGTCACTGAAGATGAGACGAAGTAAGAATTTGTGATGCTGCAGAATATACATTGTGTAATAAAAAGCCTGAGGGTTATTTTAATAATATGGGTTGTCAACTGAAAATTTTGTGTAATTTCACGTATGACAGAGGCAAATAGCTTATACTCCATAACTAGGGTACTATATTAACCTATCAGGTCAGAAAGTTTTTGTTCATTGAATGGTAATAAAATATTGAATATTGATTTTTAATTATGTAATAATAATAATAATACGTACTGTATTTAATGTAATTTATATGAAGAAAGATGGTCATCATGGGCTAGCAAACAAGCGCACATGAAATATATAAGGCAAGAGGACATTTATTAAAGTTTAAAGTTGCTGGCCAATATTCAAAAAGATATGGTACATTATTTTACCTTCCAGAACGTGCTATCCAGACAGGCGTGGCATTTGAAGGTGACATTTCCCGCCTCCATATATGGGATACAGTCCTGCCCACTGATGTTATCACCAAGGTAATAGACTGTCAATCAGAGGACAGCAGGATTGGGAACCTAGTGGCGTGGGCAGATGTGATAACTGGTATTGAAGGCCAAGTGGAGATAGTACAACCAACACAGTGTGATTGTAAGTAGCTTAGAGGAAGGTTTGGGGACTTTGGGAATATTCCTTAAGTGGATAAAGTGTCTTGTGATCTGGAATTGGCATGATTCCTAAGGGTAATGAAGACAACGTCTGCCTGAATGCAGTATGTTTATTAATTGAAAGTTCAAAATTTAATATAGACAAAGGATGAAGAAACAGTAAATAAATGAAGAAATTGCCTGTATAAACAACTCTCAGGCCTTTCCAACATATTGATGTATAGTTTTAGTTTGATAGTTATTTTAATATTACATTTTTACTTTCAAAATGGGTTCATTTTTAGAACCCTTTGTAAATGAATGATGTAAGCTTACATGAAAGTAATTTCCTACATGTACTTAGTCTCCTTGATTAGAAAGAAGATAAAGTCACAGTCATTTTAGTAAAATCAAATTGCCTGCACACTAAGCAACTTCAAGTTGGCTAATTATGAAACAGATTTTCTGATTCTGGTCTTTTCATTTCTAGCTGTAAATGAATGTTCATCCAGCCCATGTCTCAATGGTGCAACCTGTGAAAACAAGATAGGAGGGTACCAGTGCCACTGCCCCGGAGGATACACAGGCACCAGGTGTGACGTTAACATTGACGACTGCGTTGATAACTCCTGCAGTAATGGAGGAAGCTGTGTGGATGGTATAGAGACTTACACCTGTGTCTGTCCCAGTGGGTTTACTGGGAGGTTTTGCCAAGAAGAGATAGGTAAAACGCACACTGTGTCTTTTTCTTCATTTAACATATTAAAACAAATATATGTGTTTTATTACAAAGAATTTGGATTTTTTGGGCTAGGATTCAAAGATTTTTTATAGCCGATGAAGTAAAGTAACTTTTTTATGTAGGTGAAAAAGCATTAACAATATCAATTGACCCACAATGAATTTGGCTGTGGTCTCAGTATACTAAAGTGGTGCTATATGTTATATCTTTCAGTCCATGATCACTGTGGTCTCAGTATACTAAAGTGGTGCCATATGTTATATATTTCAGTCCNACTCACTGTAAGCCATATATCTCAAAGTATGACAGCATACATTTGTATATCAACTCTATAGTATTCTTATTCAAGTCAAATGTGAGTGACTTGCATGTACACGAAACTTAGTAACTTTTTAGGTCAAATGTGAGTGACTTACATTTATTATGGCGTTTTACGTATCTTTCATCAAGTTTTTTTTTATCATTGTTGATCATAAGATGTTTCTGTTTTTAATCAGTTTACATCGTCATACAAAAAAATATAATAAACATAAAAAACATAATAGACATAAGTTCTCATCCAAACTTTAGATGAAATGAGGAATATTGCACTTACTTTTTAGTCCACTGGTTAAAACGATGTAATTTCAAAGTCGTTGTCGGCCATTTTGTGTCATACTATATTCTGAATTAACTCAAATAATTGAAAACTGTTGTTTTCGTATTCAATACATCTAAAGCTAATAAAGAATTTAATTTGGGGTGATAAATTTGCCATATTTCCAGTCAGCAATACGTAAAAGACGGCAGCCAACTTGGATTTAAGGATTTTGCATCTCAATAAAAAGATTGCACCTGAAACAAACACTATAGACAAAAAGTAGAGATTCCATGCCTCACTGGTACATCAAAATATATCTGATATTTCAATTTCTTAATAATTAAATAAAGATTCAAAGAGTAAAAATTATCACAATTTCTTAAAAAAGTAGCAAAAAATTGCCGCCATCTTTATTTGCCCCCATCTTAGAAAAAAATTTTTTACTCATTATGTATAGTAAAGTTCTTAGACTATCCGTCTGGAAAATTTTTTAATTTTATTTATCTGAAATATTTTAGATTTTGTTGGTCTCAGAAATGTCAATTTAAACCCGCGTTTTACCATGACAACTGCTGTAGCAGACACACACTCACCACCAGAAAGCTATCAGAAAAACCTAGTGAACGAAAATCACTAATGAGGGAATAAGGGTTTCGGCATTTGGCCCATGGACTATTATAGGTTATGGGTTGAGGGACCACTCTCATAGGGAATGATTAAGCCTTAAAATTAAGAAACTGCTTCAGTGATACTAAAGACAATATTTTTGATCATGCTCTAAATTTGATTTTGATCTACATTTTATAGTTGTTATTGTTTGAATGATATTGTTAGATCAGTAAAGCGTATAATAGCTACAGAAAAGACAGTTCGACCACTTACCTTTACTCCAGCATAAATGTTGTTTGAACTGTAACTGAATATGGCCAGTGTGCTTTCTCCATAATCTGTCCACATTCCTTTTGTTCTGCACGAAATCTGAACCATAAAGATTTTTTTCAATACCAAAATGAATGTTTTGACTAATTAATCAAAGCGACGCCCTTTATTGTGCAATTGTAAATGCAATTTCAAGCGAGGAACGAGAAGCGAACGACACAGTAAGAACCAAAAAGTGCTTGAAATCTTTAATATAAGTGTTGAGGACATATAATTATAACTTTTTTTTCTAATAAATTTGTGTTAAGAAAAAAAAATATTGGTTTTAACAAAAAAGTACACGCAAAGATCAAAATGCAACTCACATGTTTTCCCAAATTTCCTTCGAGGGTCCACTGGTCAAGCGTTGCTCTAAAACCATTCTTTGAATCAGCAATGGCATTTTGTTTGACCTCACCATTGAAGAGGAATTGAACAAAGAACTTCGCATCTTCCATATTGCCAGATATATTATCATAGTGCACCTTACAATAAATGACGATATTCCCTAAGTCAATTTGAGGCTCTGTCATTTCTGGTGGTTTGCTTATGTAGGGGAACGGGGCTAGAATAATGAAATAGTTCCAACATTCATTGGTTGTAATTGCACAGGTAGCTGCCTTCTGACTATATAATGCATTCTATAATCATCTATTACGCATACCTTGAAATGATTAAAACAAACACACAAAAAATGTTTGTTAACAAATGTGAACATTCAAACGATCGAGCACTTAGTACCTAAGTACATTTCTTCGCAAGATTAAACTAATTTGTTTTAATTTTCCTTGTTACCTTTACATTTCTCCTCTTCAGTGTCAGCATCAATGTAAGATATCTTTCCTTGGGGGCACACTTTGCCGCCAACACCTTAAATAATTATACAAACGCAAGTCGTGATGATTGCATAGTGTATTTACGTTTATATTAGAGTGCACTGTATCTATGAAAGCAAAAGTGAGTCAAGACAGGGACATAAACAATACCCAGAAGTTAAAACTTTATTGCATTATTTTCAAAGAAACACATGGGACTAAAGAATTATTTAGTGTCGTTTCCTGCACAGTCGATGACAATCAACTTTGTTACAAGTGTCTTGCTGGTTTTATGAAGTACTGGTAGATAAAAAAGGAAATTCGTTAAATGTGACAGTAATCAATGAAATCATATTGAGGTAAAACTCACCAATACCGCAATATGCCATGTCACAGGCTACGGTTTTAGACAGATTGTAGATGAAAAAACTTTCCCTGCCAATGCAACAGTTCATAACCTTCACTCTGGCGAGGCCTTCACAATGTGCTATGCCTTTAAACGATACACACGTATCCACTGTAAGTTCATCTAAGCAAGTTAGGTTGGTTGGGTGTGGGTCCTTAAGGTAAACAGGATAGGCTGTTGTGCAGTCTCCACCTTGAGGCCCGTGGGTCGAGTCTGCCATCTGAGCTCCCGCGTCGCCAATAAATCTATACCATCCTGTATTAATACCGTTGTCACACAAAGAACGGTGATGGGGGCTCTGACGAGAATTAACATTGCGATCTTTTTCATGGAACACAGCGTGACTGTTCTTGTGGCATGGGTTGAACGAACCACTTACACAGAGAAAAAGAAGTAGGACCGCCGCTGGAATTAAACACCGCACGATATCTGATGTGCATTAACGACTGCATTATATCAGGCATATTCGAACATCCGCTCAATTAGCACGTAGGGTTATGTTTAAACGAATGGTGTTTGAATTGTCTATCACAACTGTATAGCAGACGTGTTGTCAAAGATATGATTCTATGAATGGAACTACACATTATTTTTTGTAGCGGCACCCTAAATTATCACATACCAGAGCAATGCATGGTTACCAAACTAATTCCGTGTTTTTTATGATTATAGACTGCTTAGTCATGCTTATAAGATATCACATAATTAACCTGCATGCTATATAGTTTAAAGTGACACGGTTTGTTTTAACGTTGATGTCGATCCAAGCTATGTTTTAGTATTATTATATTTCTATTAATAACTTAAATACCTTTCTGAAGAATTTCCATCTCGTGTGTCTGTGTTTTGAACGTCCGGAAAATCACTCAATGTTCATTTTAACCTGAAAATTAGGAATAAGTGTTTCAGTGTATTTTGAATTTTGTGGGCATATTTAAAGAATCATAACTGTACAATGTAGCAAGGTGTTGTCGGTGTGTAGCCATCGAGTATCCCCGTACTACGTCATATAATGTACATCCTTACGAGAACATAGCCCCTACGATGGATATATGTTCGTATTCATAGTCAAATTCTGCCGTTCTCATATATTTTTTGCAGATTCCAATTTGCAGATTTCCATGCAATTTGCAATTCCCAGTGCCAATAACATTATAATGATAAAACTTAACTTGTAAAAAGCGTAAATGCTTGGAAGCTTGATATTGTAACTGAAACAATAGATCAAATTTCCTTATTCTGCCAACCAAAAGGTAGCTTTAGGAGGGAAACGTGAGAAGAGCAAACAAGGATGTTGGCATTATAATTCAGGGAGTTCACTATTTCTATACAGTATTATCAACTACCTCTAATTTAGCCATTAATCAATCCATCTGTTAATATTTGCATTTAATCCCCGTTGTCAAGTAGATAAAAATCATCAATCTACCTTTATTTATGAAACCCTAGATGGCTTAAAGGTGTGACATTTTAAATGCTTCATCAAATTAAGTTTCATATGAGTTTGCCTGGAAGGAGGTTTAGAACGGAAGTAAATTTAACAAAGCAGCAAAGCTGCCAAACTTTCAGTAAACATATGATGATGCAGAAAGTATAGGTAATTTGTAAATTTTGACACAATAATTAACTCTGCCTAACAGCAAAATGAACACCATGTTTTAATTTTACACAACAGGGAACATGGATACCCTTAACAAAATATAAGACCTTCTGCAAATTCGCAGCAAATTTTGCTACAATATTGCTGCAAACTGCAATTTCTTCTTGCAAATTTGCAGCAAATTTGCTGCAATGTGGCTGCAAATTAGCAGCAATAAATTTATTCTTGCAAACTCCTTGCTGCAATTTTTGCTGCAACATAGCTGCAAACTTTTCATTTTGCTAAGGGTATTAATATATACAACAAGCGTAAGGCCTGGGTTACACCTTTTGGCAACATTTTTGCAACCACAAAATCTGGCGGCCGCTTGCGATCCCTACGCGAGGTAATTAAGAAGCTATGGCATATTTTGATCGGCAAGCAGTCGGAAACCGGTTGCAACAATGTTGCAGTAAGGTGTCTGCAACCTCTTGCAGACCATCCTCAAGCTATAGGTTACCGGTCGCACACCATTTGCCGAGCGATAAACAACCTGTCAGCAGCCACTCGGTGAATGAAAACCGGTTGCAGGACTGTAGCGATTGCTTGCCAACTGGTAGCATCAAGGTTGCACAGAATATATATGTTGCAAACTTGTGACAGTAGATGCTTTCTCATAAATTCCCCTCTCGGAAGACAAGAAAAGTTTAGTAAATGGCTCCTCTCCAAAAAGATGAGAACGTGGTGACAGTTATAAGCCTTGACTTTGTTTACATGAGAAGCAAAAAGAATTAAAAACTCGAAAATACTGGATGAGACCGTGGGTTGCAAGACTCACGTTGTATGGTGATTACGAACATTTGATGAAAAAACTTGAAGTAGAAAATCAGGAATACTTCATTTCATATAAAAGAATAAAACCAGCAATGTTTTACGGACTTTTGAACAGACTACACCCTCGCCTAACGAAACTTTAGTTTAATAAAAAAAAACACATCCCCAGAAATGCACTGCATGACGTCACGCTCAGCCCACTGCGCATGCGTGCGCTTTTAATGAGTTGCT